ATGGCTGGTGTCTGTAACAGGAGCGGGACACACAGCTCACAGGGAAGGCCACAGGCAAGCCAGCAGAGCCTGGAGGGAGCCAGCAAATGCAGAAGCTAGGGCATTCAGCGAGGGCGTCTTGCCCACAGCCTGCAGAGCGGGCACTCCCAACAGCCGGTCTGCTCCACTTCTGATCCAGCTCCCTGTGATGGCCTGGGAAAAGCAGCAGAAGATGGCTCCGGTGTTTGGGCCCTGCCACTCATGTGGGAGACCTGGATGAAACTCCTGGCTCCAGGCTTCACCCTGGCCCAGGGCTAGCCATTGTGGCCATCTAGGGAGTGAATGAGTGAATCAGCAGATGGAAGATCTTCCTCTCTCCTCTCTCTCTCTCTGCCTTTTTCCATATAACTCTGACTTTCAAATACATAAAATACATAAACAAATCTTTAAGAGAGGAAGAGAGAGAGATCATCAAGGCAGCATGTGAACAACCCTAAGTACATTCACAAATACAACATTAGAGACTCTGGGCAGGCACCTGGCCTCAGCGTTCACACACGGGTTCAGATGCTCCTGTGCATGCTGGAGGGCCTGGGTTCGAGTTCTGCTTCTGCTCCAGAATCCACTTCTGTGCTGATGTGGGCGCTGGGAGGCAGCAAGTGATGGTTCCTGTCGCCCACAGGGGAGACCTGAACTGAGTTCCCTGCTCCCAGCTGCAGCCTGGCTCAGCTTGGCCGTCGCAGGCTGTGGGGGTATGAACCTCCAGATGGAAGCTCTTTTCCTTCTTCTCTCCTCTCCCTTCTCCTCCCCTCCCTACCTTTTGCCTATCTATCATCTATATATCAATAACAATCAATATCCATCATCTCTCTATCTATCTTTCTACCTATCTACCACCTCTTAGATAATATGGGGGGGGCAGAAATCAGAGGGACTCTGATAGAAGATTCAGGCTACTACTCCTCCATCATCCATTTAGGTATCAAATGCTCACCTGTGAATGATGTAACAGTTGCAACTAGTCAATGCACTTTAGTTTAGAAACTGAGGCAGGGGAGAACAATGAACCACCCACAGAGGACGCAGTTAGGGCAGAGCTGGCCTGAGCGCCTGTCAATCTCCTGACCCCCCCACCCCGACCCAGACTCCACCCTCTGGTGCGTGGAGGGCAGAGACAGTCTGGCTGAGACTCTCAGGGTTACAGGGACTTTAAGAACAAACCAGGGTTAGTGCTGAGCGTCGTGGAACGGCCCTGCCCCAGCTGCAAAGCTGACCACCTGACCAGAATATTGGTGGACTCGTCTGCACGTGGGGCTCTACCCACATATGCCAAGCTGCATTTGCTGCGCCCCAAAGATGCATGCATGTGGATGTGCACACACACTCACACACCATGATTTTCTCTCTCCTTTGACAGTTCCCCAAGGTTTGCCCCCTGCTAAACGACCCCTGCTTCACTCACAGTCCCTGACTAAGGGTGCCCACGCCATTCATCGCTGCGGCTTCCCTCCCCTAGCTCCTGCCTGTGGTGTGGCTTCCCGAGTTCCTACTGCCCCTGAGCTGACAGCAGCAGCCTCTGTCCCACCCCCAACGTGAATATGATTTGATGCAACCAAGACCGAAGCCTCGGCCATTCTAGCTCCTTGCCCAAAGACAGATAAACTCGGAGTTTTCCTCTTATCCCGACATCCTTTGAAGTCCAGGAGTTTACTCCTTATCCCCGCAGTCTCACATCGTGTAGTGCCCCCCCCACTCCGCATTCTTCCCCAGGTTTGGAAGCCAGCACCAGACCTGAAGAGCCTGTATGAGGAATTCACCTCTGCCTACTGCCCTGCACCCTACCCGGACCCTCAGTCCACCTAAGATACAAAAGCCCAGCCCCTGGGGCCTGGCCCTCAGCCACGTGCTCGGTCTGTGTGCGCACTGGCAATTGGCCGCCAGCGCTACAAACTTATTTATTAGAATAAATTTGGTTTGGCTGTGAGGTCATATCCTTCCACCTCTCTGACCTGCACCCCTTTTCCTTCCATGATTCCCACCCAGAGGCCCACTCACTCCCCACGCCCACCACCACCACCACCAAACCCTCCTCACCCTTTCAGCTTTGCAGCAGGATCTAGGAAAGCAATGCACTGGAACAGAGATTCTGAAACCTACTCAAACCAGGAAGCGCTGGACTGGTTTTCATCCCAGCAGCTGTGCCAAGGAATTCAGAAATTGCAGGCAACGTGCACCCATCTGCAGAAGGCCCTGGACTGCAGCTGGTTCTGCAGGACACTGCGTGCGTGCCTGACCCAGCAGAGAGAAGCCACGGCTCACAGAGCCTGCGCTCCCCCTCATTAGAAGAGTAGCTTGCAGCAGCAATGAGTTGTGCTTCCATTATCCCTATCCAAGAACCACTAAGGCTCAAGACCTCGTTACTCACGGAGGGGCAGGTGAAACCCACACCTGAGCGGGCTACTGCAGCTCGCTCTCTGGCTTCTTGATCCAGCTGGCTGGGTTTTCCAGGATGCTCTTTCCCTTTTGTTCCCATTAAGGATGTAATTTCAAGCCGACCTGGTTGATTAGGCAGAACCGTCCCCAGTAGGCACAGCCATAGTTCAGAGACTTAAGTCCTTTAGCAATGGCTGCTGGGTCTGGCTACAGCAGCAAGGAGCAGTGGCCATGTTGACACCATGCAAGCAGCCAAGGGGGCTGCATTTGATGGCTCAAGGAAACACCTGTCCCAGAGTCCCTTGGTTCTGTTCTTGCACTGAAGAACTTGCACCATGCTTCAAGCTGTGTCCCGCGTTTGGGAATTCATTACTGGTTTCCTTTACTTGGTCTTTCCTTGGTTTCCAGCCCCAGCACCCTTGTCTTACTTAAATGATGGTGCCCTACCATGCCCTAAACAGCCTCTTTTTTGGGACCCCAAGAGTGCAGCCAGCCAGGGCTCTGCCACCCCCTGCAGCCTTGCTGCAGCCAGCTTCCTGCTTGGTCACTTGTATGTTCTCTGATGCTGGGCCCTCCTGGGCTAGGTCCTCTCCCCGCATCGCATCTCCCGACCTTTAACTTGTGCGTAACTACTAACATTCGCACCGTGGCTCACCTCCCTCCAGGTGCACTGCCCTCTCTGGTCCCCGTCATGGGCCAGGGGGACCAGCAGCCCACCAGGCCCTCCAGTTTCCCTGGGGCTGTCCCTCTGCAAGATCCAAGGATGCACTGCAGAAGGATCAAGCGAGCTGAGTGCAAAAGGCAGGCGCCAGCACGAGGAAACGAGTCTGCTGCCACCACTAAGCCACAGCTGCAGGTGCTACTTATCCCATTCTACCCCCCTTCCCTTCTTGCCCACCAACAACAGCCTGATTTCTGCAATAGTGAGGGCTGAGCTAGCCCTGTGGACAGGCTGCACTGAGCCATTAAATAAAGCCTACACTTTAAGTGCTTTTGATTTTTTCCTTTGGAACTTATTGATGACGACTAATAAATTACCCCTGAGTTCTGTGTACCAGCTCCGAGGGTTTGTGAACTCAGGGAAAACAATCTGGTGCCTGGTTGTCTTGAGGACGTATTTACACTCACAAAGAACTGTTTTTGCCATGTGGCCACTTGTTTCACCGAAATAATAACTCTTCCATTTGCTAATCGATGTGTGATCCACAAAGATACTGCTTGTCCTCTTCCGGCGTGCTACCTGCAAAATTAAATTTAACAGCAATGCTATGCCTAGGCAGAGAGAACAAACGGGCTAGCTACTCATCCCTGGGAAACAGGTACAAATTTTCCACCGCTGTGTCTTTGCGGTGTCTATTTTAAGAGACGTGATGGGGAGCGGGTCACAAGGTGACTTAGCCAGCGTTTTAGAGGGCAGGAATCAGGAGATGCAGCCCAGGGCTTGCTCCGCTCACCAAATGCCACAGCGTGCCCCAAACAAGCAGTGCTAGTGCTCCACTCCAGGTGTCATGTGTCTTACACCCCCATTGTGTGCCTGAATGTCAAAGCCACCTTTATGAAAACAACATTCCTTCGTTAAACTCAGTAGAAAAAAATAAATAAGTAAAAGAAGAGTGCAAAGATCCCTTGCTCTTCTCTGGGTGAAACAAGACGTTTTCCTTAAGAAAAACACTGGTGAGGATAATAGCCAAGGATTGTTTGAGACTCCCTCTGATTTCCAAAATACCACTTAAAAAATAATTACACCCACGATTTATGCACGATTCATTAGACAAGGAGACAAAAAATGCATTGCCAAATTTTAATTGCATTGAAAGAGCAGACATCATGACGAACACCCCCACTCTAGTAGCACCTTGGCCACAAGACAAACCCCGTCTCGAAGGCATCAGAACAGCATCCTCAGCTTCGCGACTTACACACCTCTGCAGAATGTTTTAAGCGAAGCCATCGGAAGGTCAAATAATCTGCTATCAATATTTAAACTTTCATCTGTCACCGGTAAAGGCAAAGATGACAGGGACGCCTGTTGGGGGGGAAAATCGCATTTTCTGCAAAATAAAGTGGTTGTTTTTTTTTTTCTTAAGATGACAATTGTTCTTCTGCCAACCCCTACCGACTCCCTCACCCACCCACTCAAGGCAAGAACAAGGTGACAATAGCCTTTCTTCTGCAGAGCTTGGGAGGGGGGTCTGCCTCTCTCACACATGCACACAATACGCTCTCCATTATCCACGCTGCTCACAGACGGAATCCATCCAGCGAAGGACACAATAGCTATAACAGAGCGCATAATACAGAACAGACAGAAGACAGCACCTTGCACCGTGTAAACAGCCGTGCCATAGACGCAAGCTGCTGTATCGCTAACCTACAGGAGCCAGACAGACCAAATGAGCCCCTGGACCTCAGGATCCATGACAGCAGCCGCTGCCGGGGGCGCCCCCGCCCATCCCCCCTCCCGCCCCGTGGGTGACATATGCCGTCAGACCCTGATGCCGCCTGCAAGGAGACAGCGTGATTCACGTGGCTGGCACAGCTTTCGGTTGCTGGTGCCTCCCCCCGGGGATGATCGCTGACACACATACCTGTAGTCTTTAATGGGGTTTTCTCTCCTAGCAACAGTTTTAACCTTTTGGCGTGGATTTTGCCTTGATAATGCGAGTCGGCCACCACGGCAGAGGTAAAGGACATGTTACAGAGAGTGCAGCATTTGTTTTTATCCACCAGATCGGCGTCACTTCCCTGTGTGGGAAGAAAGAGAAAATAACCTTAGAGAGAAACCTAAGCCCTAAGACTTCTTTTTTTTTTTAATTTTTCCTTTTGCAAACAGACTAGCTTATGAAAATGTCTTCTTTTTATGATTTATTTATTTATTTATTTGAAAGAGTTACACAGGGAGAGAAGGAGAGGCAGAGAGAGGGAAAGAAAGAGAGAGAGAGAGAAAGGTCTTTCATCGCTGGTTCACTCCCCAGTTGGCCACAATGGCTAGAGCTGTGCCGATCCGAAGCCAGGAGCCTCTTCTGGGTCTCCCATGTGGGTGCAGGGGCCCAAGCACTTGGGCCACCTTCTACTGCTTTCCCAGGCCATAGCAGAGAGCTGGATCGGAAGTGGAGCAACCGGGACTTGAACTTGTACCCATATGGGATGCCAGCACTACAAGCGGCGGCTTTACCCAAAACACCACAGCACTGGCTACAATTGTCTCCTTTTTGTTCTGCTACCTCTTTCTCTCTCTCTCCATGATAGTCACTGGCAAAGCGTGCTCAGTGGCTGACTTCAACATCCATTTATTTAGTGTCTACTAATGGCAGAAGCTGAAATCCAGGAAGGAGTTACCCCAAGACAGGTGGAGCCCGCATGGAGGCCGGAGTACATCTGTGTCTAGCACGGGGGGCGGAGAAGCAGCAGCCTCTAATTGCACCCATTATACTCATTAACGTTAAGTAAAATATCAGAGTTCCCAGGGCCTGAATTATTTAGCAGGAATTATCATTTGACATTCAGCTCTGCCTTTCGCCCAGTTCAGCCTCACCAGGATACATGGCTGTGATGTGCAGGACTTTTTTTTTGAATTTTGTTACTTTAAGGAATTGGACATTTTTCATAATTAACTCAAGTCTATATCATGAAGCTACGATGACTGAGCTGGCTGGATTTCCTGGGAGATCTGTGCAATTTCCTCCTTCCTCGGGAAAGGTGATTCGTTAAGTCTGCAGCAAATGCTTAGAGCAGCCTGATTTCAATGCCTTTGTAGGACTTAATGAGAACGAATCATGACTCAGAAGAAGTAAATCCTTTGTCAGATCATGTGGCCTGGCCATTGTGCACACAGGTCGTCAATTGCCTGTATTTATGCAAGGTGGAGATTAATCCTTGCCTCGCCTCCTGCCTCATTGGAAATTGAGGGTAGAGCGGACTCTTAGATAAGGAGTTAATCTATCTCTAAATGGAACAGCAATGGCAAAGCACCTCTTTGTCAGAGAGAGTGCCGGTCCCCACAATGGCCCCTACTCTTATTCCCAGATGGCTCAGACGCTGCGATTTAAAATTGGACAGGGAGGAAGATGAGGGTCTGCACAGGGTGGAAGAAGAGGAATTGTAGACGCTTTTCTGCATAATAATGAGGCATCCAGACTGCTGGAGAAAGCATTGCCTTCCAAATTATGTGTGAGTTGGAAAACTACGCAAGGCATCAGGCTGTGACATCTCTGATGATTGGTTTTCCGACCTTGGGGGAAGGGCTGGGTGAGAGCAAGGGGTGTGTGTGCCCCAGGAGACTGGCCCGCAACTCAGACGTGGCCAGGAAGGAGAGTTCTCAAACACCAGGGGTAGGACATGGATTTTCTGGTAGAAAGTGGATCTCCTGGAGACTGGAGGAGCCTTCTCTTGGAAACTAATGTGGTAGGAAATGGAACAGCCACGGATGGGTGCTGGTAGCTTCCCCTAGGCCACCTCAGCAAGGAAGCCTGGGAGAAGGTTCAGTGTCCTACAAAGGGGACAGCCTGGAAATGCCTGTAAACGGCAGATCGTGGAGTTGCTGAAGGATCCCAGCCATCCAGAGAGGAGCGGGCAGCCCCGGAGGAACGGAGGGTCCAAGCCCGTGCTGTCCCTCCACGTGGAAGACAATGTTTGTTCGTCCCATCATGTTTTAAGAGGAAAGCTTGTCAAGGTGAATGTGGGTGTTTGAATTATCCTAATTTTTAACCTACTTTTAGCAGGATATAGATCAAAGTGTGTAATATTTTTAAAAATTCAGTCATGAGATCTTAAGACAGTGTTCAACCCACAGTCCTGGGCTCTCGGCACACTGCCTGCTGTGTCCTGAGGAAGCTCCAGCCAAGCGCAGCCTGCCCCCCTAGGCCTTGAACATGGGAACTCTCCAAAGAAAGGCCAGGAGTCCAGACACAGGTGGCTGACATCCCCACACCAAGAATACTCAGGCCAGCGCCGCGGCTCACTAGGCTAATCCTCCGCCTTGTGGCGCCGGCACACCGGGTTCTAGTCCCGGTCGGGGCACCAGCCGCGCCGGCCATTGGAGGGTGAACCAATGGCAAAGGAAGACCTTTCTCTCTCTCTCTCTCTCTCACTGTCACTCTGCTGTCGAGAAACTGAATCACAAGGAGAATACTCAGAACTAGCTTTCAGGGCAGCAAACTGTTCCCTGGATTTATGAGATCTGTGCATTCAACACATTCCTAAGGACCTACTAAGTGTGCTGGACACTGTGCTAAATGAACATGGCTCTGCTACCCATTAGCAAAGAGACTGGTGCTGGAGAAAGTGGGAGAAGCAGACAGAAAAGAATGGAAAGTTTGCTCATCAAGGAAACACTGTCTTTCATTGCATTCACACTCGCCCAGTTGTTAGGTGTGCAGAGGCTACTGTTGTAGATCAGCTGTTAGTGCGGATTTTATCTTCCAGCCTGCCTCACGCTTGCAGTGTCTTACTACTTCCTGTGCAGCCCAGCCTGGCCAGGCTCTGTCTTCATGGCTTCTCCTGACTCCCTCTACTGCTCTGTGGAGGTGAGCACCCGGCTCTGAGTCTCTGGGGGCTCCTTCTGTTACAGTGAACATTGGCTGACTATGTGTAGTTGTTTTCACATCCGTTCCCCTCACTGCGGAAGCCCTTCAAGGTCAAGGACATGGTCTCACTGATAATGAAAACCCAGCACTTGGCACAAAGCTTGCCACACTATGGAGGACTGCAGGGGATGGAGCCGGGGATCAGATGACCCAACAGTCAAAGGAGAAGATCAAGTAACCCAGAACTGAGTCTCACCGACAGGAAATGGCCAGGAAAAGGGGCAGAGGAGTCAGTACTTTATAAGCTAACTTAAAGGTCCAAGTAAGTGAATATATTCCCAGTATTTATGTTAGCTTTGAAGCCAAAGCCCTATCGTGTAAAGGCAGGACGCAGCCTATTGTCTGTCTCCCTTACCCAGCGTGTCCTTGCCTGTGTTTTACCAAAAGGAAGGCACTGAATTCAGGGGCTGAAACGGCTGGTTCAGCAAGGTTCTACTGGACTCGAGAAGTCATTTGCTTCTCCAGTACATGCAACCCTGCTGGACCTGTATTGTCGGCAGGGGTTTGTTTAGGGGAATTCTAGGTCCAGGCAGCTAAATTCCAGGACTGGGGCAAAAGGTGATGACCACTTGTTTCTCACTACCAGTTCAACTGAGGTCCACCTGCTCATCACGAAAATTCCCTAAAGAGCACGACATCACTGACCAATCAAAGGAAGGTCACAGGCACCACTACCAATCAGAAACTGGAACACAAGCTGAACACACACCTCTCAGCCCCAACTTCCATCTACAGGAATCTTCACCTCTAACTCCTGGAGGAGCAGGGGACTTAAGGAGTAGCTGCCAGATCCCTTGCTCTGTGCTTTGCCATCAACACCTACTTCCTGCCAACACACCAACTGGCTTTCTGTACATCAGGTGAGCAGACCCAGAACACCTCCAACTAGTTTGGCAGGGGAGGGGGATTATTTGGCAATGGTTTCATGGTGGTGGATTTAATGTATGATCCTAGATGTCTGCTCTCCTGGGCAATCTCATTCACATCTCATGGATTTAATAGGAGTGCACCGGGCGCTATGCAGTAGGATGTCATAATAGAGTATAGTTACGGCATAGCTGCAGAAGAGGGACCGAGGACATTTAGGTACTGGACAACGTGAAGACCGTGATGCCTTGAGAAGTCAGCCAGCCTTTGAAGGCATATTTTACTAAATGGGCCTATGTAATCCCATGACACCACTGTGAATACCACTGCCTCTGAGTATGCAAACGTACTTGATGGAGACACAGCTCCCCATGTTTAACCAACCGCCTGCAAAGTGCCTGAGTTTAATTGTGTATTCCCAGCTGTCTAAATCCCAAATTCATGGCTCCTTGCAACCAGAGATCACATCACTTTCATTAGCGTCTCCCACTTTTCCCAGAGCGAGGTTGATCTATATAGAAACTCTATAATTTTTGATGAATTGACCTCAATGAACATACTTAAGATTTGTGGTTGAAAGAATTGAGAAAACCCCCAAGCTATCAAATAAATGAAGGAGGATCTTAGGATTATCTTAAAAGACGAGTTTCAAACTGGAGGCAAAGCCCAGTCAGACTTCTTTTGAAATGCAGTATCCATAGTGCTGCAAGAAGGGGAGTTCAGCTGTGTGGTATCTTAAGGCTGCGAAGCCAAACTCAAGGTGTTTCTAGACAATTCAGTCTGGGTGGAAACCCTGGTCGACTCCAGCTAGAAATCTAGTCCTGAAAGACCTATTTTTTAAAGGATATTTTTTGACTTAATTCAGGCATGGTCTTCATGTTCTTTTACTTTAGGTAAGTATAAAAGGTCAAGAGACAGACTTCCACTTCCAGAATGGGCAGAGTGACTCGTTCTGTGAAATTGCTACCCAACAAAACGATCCTACCTGCTTAACGTTGTGGGCTTTTTTAAAATCTTTAAGCTTGGAAACTATCTTAAAAGAAAACAGCATAATAAGCATTATTTCTTCAAGGAAAGCCACTACAGCTCAGGAAAAACAGGGAGCGCTTGGCTGTTCAGCCGCAACTCTCTCGCTCCCCCCATTAACCTCAGCTCTATTGGGATGTGGTCAAAACTTAGGTCAGGGGATATCAGGAGGAACACAGCACCAGCATTCATCACGCCTCCTCTGCAGCCCCCTGGCAATGTGGCTGAGAGATCAGATGCTGGATTCTTCAGCACAAAAGCTGAATA